CAGCAGCTCCGCCCCACCCCGGCCCAGCCACGCCGAAGCCCCTGGGCTGAGAGGGGCGGGGAAAGGGACTCCCCCACTCCATTGCACACACACTACACCCCGCCTTCCGGAAAGTCCATATCGGGTTCCCAGCTTCCCCTTGGGCAAAGGACTAAGTGAGCAGCCATACCTCTGGGCGTCTCCTTGGACCTTAACCAAAGAGGCAGCTTCAGCTTCTGCGATGTAAAATGGGGACCAGCCCAGTTTGTCTGGAGCAGAAACAAAAAGGCTGCCATATAAATAGTGGGGTGGTGTGGTCCTCCCGCCTGTCCGTGTCCTGTGTCCCACCTCCCTTGTGTGTGTGTGTGTGTGTGTGTGTGTGTGTGTGTGTGCCATCAACTGCACCTCCAAGGTCTCAGAACTCAGTACGGAGTGGGGGCTGCCTAGCCATTCCCATCTTAGCTCTTCCTCAGGGCCCTTAGCAGGCCTTAAAAATCTATTTGAATGAATGAGTGAATGCTTGAGAATCAAGAGCAGAGAGTCTCTCACCCTTGAAAGCAATGCCCCACCCATACTACAAAGTCAAATTATAGACTTCACCCTTCCCAGGGGTGGAAGGCCTTGCTCTGGCTAGACTGATTCTCCTCACCCAACATCACTCCACTTTCCACCTCTAGACCTTCGACTCAGCTATTCACACCTTGGAAACCTCTTCTTCAACCAAATCCAAACCCTTCCAGACCTGATCTGATCTGCCTTACTTTTCTACCTGGAGTCCTTCCCTGGGGACAGATACCTGGCACCAGTACTCAGTGCAAGCTATGGCCCAGGCTCAGGAACTTAACCAGGATCTGTCCAGGATGGGAGGGAAGAGTGGAGGTCTAGGCTAGGAGTATTGTAGATAGGTAAGTTAATTAGATACCTTGTAGGCAGTTAGGGCCACCCTCACACAGCCAGGAGCCAACCAGGGAGAACATATTCACCGGTTAGCATTATGAAAAACAGAGAAATGCTATCTCTTACAGAGATAAATAGAGTGATTGATATTTTAAATGGGAAATTCCTTGTATGTGACTGTTTTCTCATTTGATCCCCATTTAATCAATATTGCCCGGGCAACTGTACTTGTAATCTTATTGATTGGTCATAGTTTTGTCCTACTTCATGCCCACCTTGTCATTTTCCATTGGGTTTTTTAAAAATTAATTTTATTGATGCATTTAAGGTATATAATGATATTCATCATTGGAAATTTGCACCTTTACATAATCTATCTTGGTTATTTTTTTCCTCCCATTCCACTGCCCTTGCTTAAACCTCTCCATCCCTCCCTAACTTCAAAGACTTTGTTTCCATTTTATCATACTAATTCCATTCCCTTCTTTCTTTTCCACTACCCCATTTCCAGTTTCCCCTTTGCTCCCTTTCTTCCTATTTCACATTATCTATTATACCTTTTAGTCCTTATTTACACTTCCACTTTCTCACACTAGAGAAACTATTTGGTATTTACACATGTGTGTCCTATTTATTTCACTTAAGAGTATTGCCTCAATGGGCATCCATTTAGCTATAACTGTATCTCCTTTCTCATTTTTTATGGATGAGTAGTACTCCATTTTGTAAAAAACCCACAACTTCTTTATCCAGTCTCCAGTTGATGGGCAATTGGGATGAATCCCATTTGGTCAGAGTGTATGATCTTCTTAATGATCTTCTGCTTCTATTTGCCAGTATCTTATTAAGGAATTTTGCATCTATGTTCATTAGTGAGATTGGCTTATAGTTCCCTTTTTCATTTGGGTCTTTCTCTGCTTTGGGGATCAAGGTGATGCTTGCTTCCAGGAATGAATTTGGGAGTATTGCTTCCTTTTCAATTTCATCGAAGAGTTTAAACAGTATGGCAGTAGTTCCTCTCTAAATGTCTTGTAGAATTCAGCAGTGAAGCAATCAGAGCCCAGGCTTTTCTTAGTAAGTTTTTAATTACATTTTCTTTTTTTTTTGTCCCATAAATTCCTGTATGTTGTATTGGCATGATCATTTAATTGTAGAAACTGTATAATTTCTTCCTTAATTTCCTTTGCGTTCCAGTGGTTGTTCAGTAGGGTGTTAATTTGCATGTGTTTGTGAAGTTCTTGTGGTTTCTTAGGCTATTGATCTCCAGTTTAATAGAACTATAGTCTGATAATATACAGAGGATAACTTCAATTCCTTTGCATTTACTTAAGTATGTTCTACAAGCTAGCTTGTGGTCTATTTTGGAGAATGACCCGTGTGTATCTGAAAAGAATGTATATTCTGATTTTGTGGGGTGGAACACTCTGCAAACACCTACTAAGTCCCTTTGTTCTAAGACTTGGCTTAGTTCTGTTATTTTGTTGTTGATTTTTTGTCTAGATGATCTGTGTATTTGTGTCCTTGGAATATTGAGGTCCCCCACTACAATTGTATTAGTGCTTATTTTTGTTTTTCATATCCATTAATATTTGTTTTGCATAGTTGGGGGCATTAGTATTCAGTGCATATGTATTTATGATTGTCATTTCTTCTTCTTGTACCCTTTACAAGGATGTAGTGGCCTTGTCTCTTGAAATTAGTTTTGGTTTGAAATCTATTCTGTCTGCAAATAAGATATCTACCCCCACTTTTTCCTGGGCTCCTGTCGCATGGAGAACTGTTTTCCACACTTTTACTCTCAGTCTATGAATTTCTTTGTGGATTAAATGGCTTTCTTGTATATAACATATTGTTGGATTTTGCTTCTTAATTCTGCCAGTCTATTTCTTTTGATTGGTGAATTGAGGCCATTAATGTTGATGGTTATAACTGTTATTTATTGACATTTCATTGTCATATTTTATTTTTTATTTTTCCCTCTCTCCCTTTAATTTCTTGCCTTGCCTCGTATATTTTCTCTGTTGGCCCTTAGGGAGTTGTGGCCTTCATTTTCTTTTTCCAGAATATTGTTTAGAAGTGTTTGGAGTGCCAGTTTGGTGTTCATGAAATTTCCCAGTTGTTGTTTGTTGTGGAAGTATCTTATTTCCCCATCAATTTTGAAAGATAGTTTTGAAGGATACATCAGTCTAGGTTGGAGGTTGTTTTCTTTTAGGTCTTGAAATATTGCACTCCAGGCTCTCCTTGACTTGAGGGTTTAGGTTGAAAAGTCTGCTGTGATTTTGATGGGCTTTCCTTTGCATGTGATTTGTTTCTTTTCTCTAACTGCTTGTAGTATTTTGTTCTTCTGTTGTTTTTCTGGGATCTTGATTATTATATGTCTAGGTGTAGGTTTTTTTTTTGATTG